TTATGATATATAAAAAATAAAGAAAAAAAAAAAAAAATGATTTAGGTGAGAAATTCGAGAAAACGAAAAATGAAAGTAAGTATTATAACAAAATGTATTCTGTTAAATAGATTGTTAAATCTATTTCAAAAAAAAAAGAGAGATATATATCAAATATATATAAATATATATATATAATCTGAATACATTATAATAAATATATAATTTAGCAACTCGAATTATAAAAAGAGCATTTACCCCGGGCTTTCAATTAGGTAAGAGGTATATAGAATCATGGGGTGACGGAACGCAAGTAGCATTTTTTAAAAGATTTTACGAAAGTGCACATCGATTGGATGCAATACATATAGTTCGAAATAATGTTAAAAAAGCTATAGATATTTGGATTAAAGGTGGCGGTGGTGGTGGAAGTGGAAATATTATTGGTGGTGGTGGTGACGGTGGCAGAGATATTGTTGGTGATGGCGACGGAAGTGAAGATATTATCGGTGAAAATGGAGATAGTGTGGAAAGAGTGGAAGATGATGGTGACGATAATTTTGATGATGATGATGATAATAATATTAATAATGATATTAAAATGAATAAATAATAATATTATTAATGATTAATACTATAAGAGTTATGATTTTAAAGGAAATTCAGGACATGATAATTATGATATCAAAGAAAAAGAAGATTGAGAAATATATTACAGTCATAATTATTTTATTAATTTATTATTTTTTTATTATTATTTATTTATTTATTAATTATCTTTTGTAAATAAAAAAAAAAAAACAATTTCTATATTCATGACGTTAACTCTTCATAGTAAGTTCACTATGGTGAGTTGTTTATTTTATTCTATTTATTATTGTAGTTAATTGTAGTCAATTATAGTTAATTGTAGTTTGTTATGGTTAATTGTAGTTAATTATAATTAATTGTAATTGAATAGAGATTGAAAAAAAATGTATCTTTATTCATTCTTTCTATATTATATGTATATGTATATTATGTATGTATGCACGATTTAGTGTTTATAAAGTATTTCTTGAAAAAGATTTTACTTCTATTTTTTAAAGTTTTTTTTTTTATAGTTATACTTTTTTTTTTTTTTTTTAGAGATTTTTATATATATATATATGGTTATAAATCTATTTTATTTTTATCTATTTTTTTTTTAGAGTTATATTTATTGAGGTACAATTCCATCTCCATAATTAATTACTTCACCCCCAATAATAAATCCTCCAAAATGATTATTATCGAAATCATATATTGTAGTATTTAATCTATTATTACTAAAATTTTTAAAATCTTTTAAACTAAAATCTATTCCTCCAGTTCTTCTCCTCCTTTTTCGTTTTCTTTTTCCATCCTCACTTTTTGTTTTTCTTTTTCCTGATATTCCCCCTTTTGCATTTTCACTACTACTACTACTATTATTATTACTATTATTATTATTATTATTATTAATTTCATTATCATCTTCACTATCTTCCTCTTCCTCACCATCATCATCTTCATAATAACTTTCATAATCTTCTTCATCGTCAATTCCATTTCCATAATAATAATAATAACTATTTCCATATCCCGCAGGAACGATTTGACAATTATTCATACATCTTTGCCAACATTCTATTATATCTTCTTTTTTTACTAGTAAATTAAATTTCAACATGTAAAGAAAATCAATTTCCATACGTGTAATTTCATTAGGTGTAAATACGTGATTAGTTATATTTGACCAATAATATGAATTGTTATGAGGAATCAATAATAATGTATGTGCTATTAATGATGTATCGGTTGTTTGTTGACGTTGTTGTGAGTGTGATTGTGATTGTGAGTGCGATGATGAGAGTGTGTGTGATGAATGCGTGTGTGATGAGTGCGAGAGAGAATGTGAATGAGAATTCGATATATCATTATTATCATTATTATCATTATCATCAATTATTTCATTTGCTCGTGTAGTAGATGTTGTTAACCATTCTTGAAAAGTCAAACCTTCATTATCTTCTGAACGCCATTCGTCCATCCTTCTTTCCCTTCTTGCTATCCTAATTAATGTTTCATCACCTTCATTATTATTATTATTATTATTATTATTTAAATAATTCTCATAATCTAAAAATTCTTCATCAATTAATGAATCATCATCTAATAAGAAACCTTCCGAACAACTTTTTGAAAAACTTGCGTCCACATATTTTGAAGCTATAACGAATGCGATGAAAAATACGCGATGTGAACATCCTTGTTCGCCATGGAAACATGGATTAGCCTATTAGAAAAAAACGATTAATAAATGATATGACGCGTGAATTTATTATTATTATTATTATTTCCATACCTTACGCAATCGTTCAATATATACCATTGCAAGAACTAATTTTAAACTTGACCAATTAGTCCACGCCCACTCTGATCCACCACCATTATTAATATTATGATGACTATGACCTCTTATTATTATTTCATCATCGTCATCATAATCGTCATCCTCATCATCATCATAATTGTAATTATCATAATTATAAATATTATTATTATTATTATTAAAAATTTCGTCATCATCATCTCCATCATAATCATCATCTTCTTCCTCTTCAAATTTATATCGAATTCTTGCTATCACGTATTTAATATAATTTTTTAAGGTGGTATAATGATGATCACGATCTGATAAATTGGTTGACGAATCACCACCACCTGATGGTTCCCACAATGGTTCCCATAATGATTGGATCCTTTCAGTTAAAAGTTCTAAAATAAGTATTACAAAATGGATTAATATGTGTGAAATGTATTATATGTATTATATAAGTGACGCGTCAAAATATAATAATATGTAATAATAAATATTATTATAATTTTTATAATTATTACCTATTACAGTTTCATCCATTATTATATTTTGTTCAAAAAGTTCACCCAAAGTTTTAAATAAATTTTCTCGCTGCATCATTTCTTCAATGGTTTTTGAAACGTAAGCTTTGTGAAAACAATTTTCTTCTTCTTCATCAATAGCTTCAGGTGGAAGAGAAGAAGTTGGTTGTGGTTGTTGTTGTTGTGCTGATGGTGGTGGTTGTTGTTGAAGTTGTTGAGGTGGTGTTATTGTTACAGTTGTATTTGTAATAGTTGTATTTGTAATGGTTGTTTGTATTTGAGTAGACGATGGTGGTGTTGGTGATAATATTTGTGTTGACCTCATATTATTATTATTATTATTATTATTATTATTATTATTATTATTATTATTATTATTATTATTATTATTATTATTA